TATTAATGTTTTAAATATAGTTCATTAAAATGACCTGTCTGGGAAGTGGTGGCAGGCACACACCTTTAATCTTAGCACTCAAGTGGATCTCTGTGAGTTTGAGACCAACCTGGTTTACAGAGCAAGTTCCAGGATAGCCAAGGTTATACTGAGATACCCTGGACCCTGTGAAGAAGGAAGGAAGGAAGGAAGGAAGGAAGGAAGGAAGGAAGGAAGGAAGGAAGGAAGGAAGGACATATGTTTAAACATGACATATGTTTTTGTTGTTATGGCGGGAATCTATATAGCCCAGGCTTGCTTCAAACTTGCTTTGTAGCCAGACTGACATTGAACTTATGATCCTCCTGCCTTCTCCAACCTCCAGATTCTTGAAATTACAAGTGTGTACTTCAACATCCTGGAGGTTCATTATAATTATTTTAAATAAATAAACAGTATTTTTCTATTCTCATTTCAAACAATAAATATCACAGAAATAAGCTACATGCATAAAATTAGTATACAGGCCCTCAAATTTTTCTTTTTCCTTTGTATTTATTCTTTTCTCATATATTACATCCTGACTAGTTTCCCTCCCCTCCCCCTCCCAGTTTCTCCCTGCAAACTCCCCTCTCCCCAAGATCCACTCTTTCTCCTTTCCCTTCCCCTCAAAATAATTTTTAAAGAACGCAAAGAATGCAAACTGTTATGTGTGGTGGCACAGACATATAATCTCAGCACTTTGAAGAGGTATAAAAGATTGGTAGGTCAAGGCCATCCTAGCCTACATAAGACCTTTCCTTAAAACAAAACAAAAACCAAGGAAAGTAATCAGTTACTGAAATGAGCCTTCTACAGTCATAGTGTTACACTTCTAACCAGGTCAAACTTGTGCTCAAATCCTTCCACCAACTTTCTATTCATGGCCCCTGAGTCCTAAGTGATTAGGTCATCAGTAGCTTCCCCAGTAATTTGTTTCCTCTGTAGTCTTGGAAATAGTTGCTGTAGTTTGTGTGTGTGTGTGTGTGTGTGTGTGTGTGTGTGTGTGTGTGTGTGTGTGTGTGTGTGTGTGTGTGAGGGAGTGGTTTGCAGGGTCAATGCACCCCAGCCATACCTGTCCTCAGTCTATCTTCTAAATGGATTCCTACTTGTTTTAAATCCTCAACAAAGGTTATCGGATCCTTCTTACCCCAACTCTGAAATTAGATCAAGATTACTTTGTGTTATTTATGGTGCTAGAGACAGAATGCAGGGCCCTGTGCACACCAAGCAGAAGCTCTCATCACTTAGCTCTAACACTTGTCAGGTCCCTCTTCCAAACACTCCTATGACTCTACACATCCTTTATAGAATCAATCAGTCTCAAGAGATTTTTACTTTGGGATTATGTGGCTTCATAGCTCTCTTGCTCATTTCACAATATAAATATTTTTAAAAATCACACATATATACATACATAAAACTATTAAATAAAATTTGGTTTCTATATACACAAGGATAAATAGGTCTCATCATATTCCCAAAACAGATTATGACACCTATGTGTGAAGAATTAACCTTATTCAAAAAGAAATCTGGGCTTTGCCTTTGGTTACCAAGAGGTAGTCTCCAGGTTTCTTGACTTCTTGCTGATAGAAAGGCCTCTGTTTTCCTGTACCAGTTTCAACACCAAGAGGAGACAGGCTTCAGTGTGGCCTATAGCAATGGGCCAGAGACTACAAGCCAGCCATGTGGGCAGTAAGCAAGTAAGTCTTATTAATACAACTTTGGAGATTGAGATATATTACCTAATACACTGTGGCTGCGAGGCTGTAATACCACACATGGTTCCATGGAAAGAAGATGATTAAAAATTCTACACTTCATCAGACTGTGGTGGTGCACACCTTTAATCCCAGCACTCTGAGAGGCAGGGCAAGTCGATCCCTGTGAATTCAAGGCCAGTCTGGTCTACAAAAAGTTCCAGTACAGCCAGGGCTGTTATATAGAGAAACCCTGTCTCAAAAAAGAAAAGAAAAAAGATTTCTGCATTTCAACTCCTCCAAGATCCTTTCCTATGTGTCTCTTCTGGGATTTTATTTGTTTGTTTTGTTTTAATTAAGTACTTCTTTAAAATTATTCACTTAGGGCTGGAAAGATGGCTCAGTAGTTAAAAGCAGTAGGTTTCATTCCCAGCACCTACACAACTACTCACAACTATCTGTATGTAACTTCTGTCAAAGGGGAGCCAACACTCTCTTCTGGTTTCTGCAAGCACTGCATGCATGTGGTACATAGACATATATATGTAGGCAAACACACACATAAAATGAAATAAATTATTTGTGTGTGTGTGTGTGTGTGTGTGCACCCAAGGACTGGGAGAGTAAGTTCCCTCCCTATCTTGTCAGATCTAAGGATTGACTTCAGGTCACTAATCCTTAGCCACTGAGCCATCTCTCTGGCCCTTGGATGTCTCCTTTGGACAAGTTTAACCTGTATCCTTTTCCTGTTAATAAAGTATATTACTGCTTTTAGTAAATTCTTTGAATATTTTCAAATAAATTATCAAACCTAACAGTGGCAGTGGAGCCCCTAAAGTCACCTAAAATGGGGTCAACCTTGAAGAACTTATTCTCTGAGACTTTACAGGCTGGTTAAACTCAACGCAACCGACTAAAGGCCAATAGGTTAGTGGGGGCTTGGTGACACAGAACTATAATTCCAAGGTTCAGAAGGCTGAGGCAGGGTGCACTAGAGTTCCAGGCCAGCCTGGGTCATAAAGCAATATTCTGTCTCAAACAAAACAATAACATAACAAAACCAGAAAACTCGAAATCAACCATAGGCTCTGAGTTAAGGTCAATCAATACCTCCCTCAACAGGGAATATTGTTAAAAAACAACAACAACAAAAACTTTATAAGACAATTCACTCTGAGATGAATTGACACTCTCAGATTATCATATATACTCTCTAACAAAGCAACAATATATATGATAATGATGATGACAAAAGCAACAACTATTCCCATGTGTCCACCCATGTCTATAATCACCACTTAACAGATTTGGGAACAGAGTAAACATACTACTAGTGAGTGATTGTGGTGGTCCGAATGAAAATGGTCCCCATAGGCCCACAGTGGCACTATCAGGAGCTGTGGCCCTGTCGGAGGAAGTGCATGACTGAAGGTGGACGTTGAGGTTTCAAATACTCAAGTCAGGCCTAGTGTCTCTGTCTCTCTCTCCTCTCATCTCCCCACTGCCATCTCTGCCCTTCCCCCAACTCTCCGCTGATGCAGATGTAGAACTCTCAGGTACCTCTCCAGCACCACATCCGCCTGTGTGCTGACATGCTTCCCTCCATGACAAAAACAGACCAAACCTCTGAACTATAAGCCAGCCCAAATTAAATGCTTTCCTTTGTAAAAACTGCTGTGGTTGGGGCTGGAGAGATGGCTCAGAGGTTAACAGCATTGACTGCTTTCTCAGAAGTCCTGAGTTCAATTGCCAGCAAGCACATGGTGGCTCACAACCATCTATAATTGGATCTGATACCCTCTTAAGGTATGCAGTCAAACATACAGACAGAAAACTGTGTACATGATGTCTCTTTACAGCAATTAAAAACCCTCACTAAAATAGTGACAATGTTATTGTAAAAGAATTACCTATTTTTAGAGTCAACATGCTTCACTATTTTAGAGTATAAGCAAAGGAAGATTAACATTAAACTGTACAAAGAAAAATTAAAGTCTCCAGCATGATCATTGCTAAAATAATATCACTGACTTCTTTTCCTTATGACTTAACCATAGGTACTTTCACGTTTAGTTACAGCTTATCTGTGAATTTCCTCTGAACAGATAAGGAACTGCATAGATTAACAACAACTAGGTAAATAGCTGGGCATGTGGCTCACTCCTGTAATTCCAGCTCTCACTCCTGTAATTCCAGCTCTGAGGCTAGCCTGTTCCACAGAGCCTAGTCTCATCACACATTTATACACACACACACACACACACACACACACACACACACACACACACACACACACATTGGGGAGCTGGAGCTCTCAATGCTCTTTCCAGAGTACCTGTGTTCGGGTCCCAAAACCCATGTCTAGTGGCTCACAATTGCCTACTCACAAGAGCTTCAGGGAATCTGACACCCACTCCTGGCCTTCTTAGGCACCTGCACACACATACACATAAATACAACTAAAATATACACAAAAGGGGGGGGGAGACCACTTTTTATATTATTATAAAACGCTACACACAAATTCCAAATACCTAAAGTGGATAGCCAACACTTCTACCAAGACAACAACCATCCATGATGCCCTAATCCATAAGCACTGAGCACCCGGTTCTTTCATTTTCCTCTCCAATGTTCCATTCTCCTCCTCTTCTATAGCTTCTCTTACATCATGGAACTGAACTCTTGGCCCCTACAGAAGACTGAGAGACACTATAGCCCATCAATCACATAAGGCCAACTGGACTGTCTCAAAATGAACAATGTATCTACAGCTTTGCCACTCTGAAACTAGAAACCATCTTTTAAGATACAAGTAACAAATAGTTCTGGTAAATTAAACATACATGGATAGTAAGTAGCACAGTAACCCAAGCATTCTGAATATAATCATAAGAAAAACATATTTGTGCATCTAATTTCAATCACCTAATTACATGATTTTTTGACCTTATGAAGGTTCAGCAAAAACAGTACAATCTGAATTATTACTTAGATTATTTTAAAAATTAGAATTATACTTCTACAAGATCTGAAACCCAACATCAAGTTGTGCTACATCCATTTTGACACACTGATTGTGATAAAGAAGTTTTTAAAATGGATTAAGTCTAGGTCTACATTAGAAGTTAGTCATTAAAGAAACCCTGAGTGATGTGAAGTACAGGCTATACAAAGGTGAAGAGGTGGATGTAAGTAAAGCATAGGAAAGAAGGAAGGATATACTAATGAATTAGATATACATACCCCACCAATAACCCACAGAGACAGAGAAAGTACCTGGAAAGCTGTGAGTGCGCCAGTCCCTGGGTTATACAGGCATCGCAGCGAAGGCATGCTGTCCGCCAGGCTGGAGCAGCCCAGCCACAGAGACCTGGGCATAGAGCACTGCAGAGAGAGGACAACTATGAGATGGGACAGTATGAGACAGGATGGCAGATTACAGGAATTTTCACGGGTTCGTTGAATGCAATATTCACGTTGTAGCTAGCCTTTATGATAGAAACACTGGAGAGGGTGTGAGACACAGTCTCACTATGTATGTAGCCTTAGCTGGCCTGAAGCTTGCTATGTAGATCAGGCTGCACTCCGCCTGCCCCTGCCTCCCAAATGCCACCATGCCCAGCTATAACAGAAACATTTTCAAGAAGCATAGAATATGGTGGCTCTAACCCCAGAGAAAACTCAAAAGGCATGAAAAAGAAAAATAAAAAAAGAGGTCCAAAAGAACTTTGTGGTAGCATTACAATATCAAGAATGGTAAATTAGAAAACAAAACACCACATGAGACTTTTTTTTTTTTTTTTTTTTTTTTTTAAAGAAAAAGCATTGTATTCCTAGGGCCTTGACAGCAACCAACTCTGCATAGTTTGCATATGCTTTATGTATCCTGTTAGTCTGTTATTCATTAACCAAAATGCACAGTTAACCATGGCAGCTGCCTCTTCATCTTTCCAGATGGATTAAAGGAGGTGGGGCAAGAAGCAGTCTAAACAGAAACAAAACAACAGGGAAAAAGAGGTAGAGCCTCTGAATACCACAGTACAAAAACCTTCAGCAAGGAAATTACGAGAATAGAATGTCTTCAGTAGGCAAAAAAGTATCAGTTCTAATGGCACTAAACACTGTTAGTATTATTGTGCTTTGAGGCTGAGGGGTAGTTGCATGTGTGTGTGCATGTGCATGTGTGTTAGAGGTCAGGGGTCAAGCTCAGGTGTTGTTCCTCAGGAACCATCCACCTTGTTCTCTGAGATAAAGTCTCTCACTAGAACCTGGAACCTGCTGACTAGCCGAGGCTGGCTGACCAGCAAACGCCAGGGTTCCTCCTACCTCTGCCTTACAAGAGCACATCACATGCTCAGGTTGTTTGCCTATGTTTTTCAACATGGATGCTAGAGATGCAACTCAGGCCCTCATGTTTGCCTGGCAAGTACTTTACTGACCATCTCCCTGAGCTCTGCTTACTTTCAGGAGACTTTGTAAGGCAGAATGAACCCTACATTCTTCATATTTCTCTAAAAGTATCTCAGTTTTGTCCATTAGTTTGATCACCATTATAGTTTAATAATAGCTACAATACGCTAGGCGGTGGTGGCACGTGCTTTTAATTCCAGCCCTCAGGAGGCAGAGGCAGGTGAATCTCTGTGAGTTCGAGGCCAGCTGGTCTACAGAGTGAGTTCCAGGATCGCCAAGGCTACACAAAGAAATCCAGTCTCAAAAAACCAAAATAATAATAATTAGCTAAAATGCTAAATAGCCAACCATACTCAATGGTGTGCGCGTGTGTGTGTGTGTGTGTGTGTGTGTGTGTGTGTGTGTACATGCACACACATATATTTTAAAATAAGATAAGTCTTTTCACGAAATTTTTATAGAATGTGAGGTAACGTTCTGGTTTTTACTTCTTTAAATAATTAGTAGAAATTAGCAATGGGATGCAAGATACAGAATTCCCTACTCACACTGTCTGTAATTCAAAGGATAACAATTGCTAAGCTCCAAAAATGATCCAATCTAGACTCCTGCTTACATGACATTTCCCTCATTTTACAGTTAAGTACTTGTCTACTCATTCTCACAAATTTAGAAAATAGCACAGAAAGCAGGGACTGGATCAATGCCTGCTGCTTCCTGGAGCCCTTCTGTCTTCATCATCCCTACATCATAAAGGAGGGATGGAGGGCTTCAAAGGGTATCTGCTAACGGCATCACCAGATAACACAAGTCACAGTGACATCACTCCAGAGTTTCTTTACTTCAAGCTGCAACCCATTTTACAAACAGTAACTAAATGGACAGTAATCCTCAGTAGTATGTTATGCAACTCATAATGGCTTCCTGTATTAGCTGTATGAAAATAAGCACACTATCAATCTGATATGCTCTCACTACTTTTATCAGCTTGCCTGCTCTCCCTTTTAACTGACCCTGGCACTTTAGCTATTTAACTGCTTTGATATTCTACTCAAATGCTTATCTGAGCCCTACCGCATTTAAATGTGTAATACCCATGCTCTTTACTTCTGCCATCTACCTCTACCTACCATTTACATCTGTGTCTCCTTGGCACTACATTTACTAATCTCAGTCCTGTCCCGCTAATCCTGGCACTTGAAATACTCACATTGGGAGAAGAGAACAAAGTTTAAAGTTTGAGAATTCCTGCCCTGTGCTGATGAACCAAGAATGCTTTACTGGGGCAGGAGAGATGGCTCAGCTGTTAAGAGCATCCTCCAGAAGCCTGGAGTTCAATCCCTAGAACCCACAAGAGTGCAACTCCAGTCCTACAGAAAATCTGATGCCCTCTTCTGGCCTCTACAGGCACTGCATACACATGATGCACAGACATGTACGCAGGCAAAACATCCATACACACAAAATAAAAAAGAAAATATCAAAGAAAAAATTAATTGGGAAAAAAGTATGCTTCACTGAAGTCAGGAACAGTGACTCACACCTTTCCTTCCAGCCAGCCTGTCTCGTGCAGGGTTCCAGGCCAGTCGAGGCTACCTAGTGAAATCCTGTCTCAAAAATCACAAACAAAAAAATGCTTCACTGAAATCATTTTCTTAAGTTACACTAAATTGCTCTTAAGGCTAACGTGTTAAAATTTTATTCAGTATTTATTGAATATCCTTCTTATTCTGGACACCAGATACAATAACGGACAAAAAGAAAGTTCCTTCCCCTTTTTGGTATCACCTGTGATGGAGCTAGAACTTTATGCATGCCAGACAAGCACTCTACCACCGAGTTATATTCCTAGCCTTTTAAAAACAAATTCCTTTCTTAGCTGGGCATGGTGACCCACAACAATAACCCCAGAACTTGAGAGACCGAGGCAGGATGATTGCCTCTAGTTGATGATCGGCTTGAGTTTGTTTACACAGTGAATAATAGCATGACAGCCAAAGTTATTAGCAAACTGGCATCAAAGAAAACCCCTTTTCTTCATGGAACTTATGGTCTAACAGCATTCCTCCAGCATTAAATCCCTACACATTAAAGATTCCTAATATAAAGAAACTTGTTAAGACTTACTAACTATTGTGTAATATATTCCATGGAGACATGGTACATTTATTAAGTGTTTGGTTAAAGCTGATGGGTAAAAAACTAGTGTCATTCTGAAGGAGGATTTCAATTTTGAAATATATATGAGACGTAGAAAAGGTGAAATTATTTGAAAGGAATGCAGTGTAGAAAAGGAAACAATGGAGGGAGACAGGGGGACCTGAAAGGCAGCTGTGAGAAGAGGCAGCACTCACACATGCCAGCCATTCCAAAGCCCTCTGCACAATGCACACTAGGCACCACTGGATGCAGAGCACAACCAAAACCCTAGGGCTCTTCTTTCTCCTTACAAAGCACACACTTATTTGTATTGGTGAGAGCTTCACGGTTAAGTTTCAAAGGCACTTCTCCCAGGAATTATTTGTCTCCTCTGTTTCCGCTCAAGTCTGTGGATTTTTCGTACTATCGCTTGATGAAGTATCTGAGCTTCTTTCAGTGCTGCTCATTCCAATGCCCTCTTCATTCTCTCCCAATCTTCCATCAAAACTCCTCTACCCACTAAAAACCTGAATGGGGCTTACCCTGTCTCCTTAAACTAAAATTTCAAAATAAAATTATGATCAATAATGAGTCACATGCGCCCAGGAAAGCCACTATGTATACCAGTGTGATTTCCAAAACAGTATTAACTTCCAAACACCACACAGAGGATACATTCTTGATTATTACAAGACAACTGGTATGGGTATGAAAACTGTACTTGAATATAGTCAGATTTGCACATTACCATAAGATTTTACATATTATGGCTCAATTTAAAAACCAATTTTTAAACTGGTTTATATTGTAATAATTAATCTTATTCATACAGGTAAATGCTGCTTAAATCTTTGAGGGAAACAGATCATTACAAAATAAATGGAATAGGCTCTAACTCAGCTATTTCCCTTCTTCACATTTAAGAACAATGAAGGTAGAAAGCCCTGCCATTTTGGCTGCCATGACCATAGGCTCTCTGTGCTTTTCAGGCCATTTTTATGATCAATTTTAAACAAAGACATATTACATGTTCTGTCAATCATTTAATATACTTTGCCCTTGATGAAACTGTAGGCCTGTGATCCCAGCTACTGGAGGCTAATGCAGGAGGATCACATATTCCAGACCTGCTTGAGCTATGGAGTGAGTTTAAGGCCAGTCTGGGCAATTTAGCAAAACCATATCTAAAAGAGAAAGGTTAAAAGGGGTTGGAGATACAGCTCAGAGGTACAGTGCTTTCACAGTGTGTGTGAGCCCCTAGGTTCTATCTCCAGGTCTGAAAAAAATATTTGAAAATCCAGGTATGGTGATACATGCCTGTAATCCCAATTTGTGGAAAGCTAAGAACATCGAGGCTGAGACCAGGCTGGCTCTATAGAAAAGCCACATCTTCAGGCTAATAAATACTTAGTTTTCTAAGGTTTATGCTGGCCTTGCTTTTTCTCTTTGTAAAATATCTTTAAATTTCTAAACTTCCCATCTTCCCAATTCTTTTGCTGAGGATCAACCCCAGGCCATGCTAAGAACACTTTGCCACTGAGCCACACACTAAACCCTTAATTTTTTATTTTTAATAAACAAAAAGGAAGTGGGGTGTCAATACAGCAACTACAACTACATTCCCACATTTAAACTTCACTTTTATTTAACTTTTACTAATCACTAAAGAACTCTGGAATGACACACTCCTTAAATGATTTTCCTATGTAATCTCAGAAGCTACAAAGTCAGTACAGATTACATCTCATCCTGTGCACACACACTCTGCACAGCACACACTTGTCTCTTCAGCTCAATTTCCCTCTAACCTCAACCCAGACAACTCTCCAGACTGA